TAAAATATGGCTCAACTTAGCGGGAGTTAAGAATAAAATTAAAGCTTCGTGCTGATAACGTGTTATAAAATAAAAGCAATGCTGTAAAATGTAAACAAGAAGAGATAGAGAGAATGAAGAAGTGTTTTCTTCTTTCACTTTGGTGTCATTTTTCATTGCAATTACATGGACTTTTATAGACATAAAAAGTAAAGATGATAGGACATATAATAAGAAATTTAATCTTTAAGTTATTCACAACATGAACATCCAATGTAGTATCCAATGTATTCATAACAAGACATAATTTGTAAAAGTAAGCACTAATTTCCCTATTCGCACTACGTTGATCAATTTTAATGTGGAAAAGGATTGTGCCTCGTTGGACTAATTGGTCCCTTGACCTACATTTTCTAAATTATGTTATTCTAGTGGATAGTTAAAGAAAACTGCAGAAAGCCCTCTAAGGATATAAAAGCTTTTAAATTTACAACATAAGAAAGGGAAAATTATGAAATGCCAATTTTTTAGTGGAATATTTTCGCCATGTGGAATGTAGCCAAAATTATATTGACAACTCATCAAATGGAGAGTTAGAATAACTAGTCAATTTTGGTACTTTTAATTTTTTAATGTTTTGAATAATATATCTCAACCAAGTTTGTGCAGCTCTTGGCATACGCATTTAGTGGGGTATATATTAATACAAATCTTTTAAAAAGATAAGCTAAATTAAGATAGCGAAAAGGAAATTCACAATTAAAGTTGCGGATAATAGTTTCAGTTTATTAAACCAAACAAGTATCAAATTTTCCTTTACGAAAAGAAGATAAGAGAAGAAAGAGAAACCAAAAAGGAGAAGAAAATTTCCTGAAACAAATCTCTCTTAATGAATTCAAGCTTAAGTCTGGTTCAGTTTATTTCGTAAATTGTTGGAATAAAATCCCGACGATTAACTAGGCAGTGTAATTATTTACATCTCCCAGTATGTATGCATATATTTTTTAGTATGTTCATGATTTATTAAAATTAACAAATGACAATAACTGTTATGAACCCGAATTCACAACAGAAAATAAATGAGGAAAATGATGGATTTAATTCATAAACTCAAAGATTCAATCATTACAATAACAATAACTAGAACCAAGAAGGAGATCCAGAGAAGAAGGATAGAAAAAGTCGAGGGAGAACAAAAAGAGATAGTCCAGAGGGAGAAGCAAGAAGAACAGAGACGAAGAGGAAGAGTTCTCAACAATACGCATAATCCCCAGAATCACTGACTTCTACTCTTTTAATAGAATAGTTTTTGGGTTCACTACTCAACCTGGATCCCAAATTAGTCTGATCATATTACTTGTTCTCGGCCCAATAGCCATATGTGTGTTGATATCCTTATTGGAATGTGGTTGATACATAACAATAACCCACATTATGCTAATCTTATAAACGATTGCAGGTCAATGCTCTAACAGTTGGGTGGTCCTATCATGTAGTATACTTATAGGGAAGCAAATTTGGTGGCAGATAGAGGTTTTAATTCTCGTAATGCCACTACTAGATTAGTGCTATGTGCACTGTAACTTTTGCTACTCAGTAATATACTACTAACTACGTAAGGACAAAAAAAAATGACAACATTTGATCTCTATCGTTGAAGGTTTATATCCTTTTCTTTTAGAATGAGATAAGTTTATCAAGTTTTGTTATTTTATATTTGAATTTTGTCACATGCATCCACATACAATATGTTCGTTTATTTGTAACATAAGTTCATAACAGTGACATATCTATTATGTTTTTCTGAAAATTTTCATGTCGTGTCCAAGTTTTATCGAGCTCGAGTTGCTAAGTCTTTGCCTATGCAAACATAGAAAGGGACAGGATCAAATATATAGTCATGAGTTACTAGTTTTCTATTAACTTTGGTACGTAATTGGGGTATGGTACGGGCCAGTCCGTTATTTACTTCTCTCCCACATCGGAGATATGAAACAACATTCAAGGAAAGAGGACTATAAAAAAGGATGGCAGAAGATGGGAAAACTCATCTTTGCGCTTGGGGCAATGACGCAGCTAGTGAGGTTCTAACCGAGGCGCGTCTATTGCTGGTTGAAAACTATTTCCAAACCCCCTCTTCGGCCTGGGTTCTGCCTTGGCCGTTGAGAATTTTTGAAAGGGCTTCCCTTCTGGGTAAAGCCCTACAATTCTCAGTCTTAATACTTTTCCTTCGTAAGCTGCCCAACAAGTCAATGTTGTCATTGTTTGACATTAAGAATGATAACAAGAGGCCAATGGATAACCTAGAAGGGAATGAAGGAAACATTTAGAATCAGTGGAATAGTTACAACTATGGTGTCAATGGATATTCTACGGTTCTTTTTAAGATCTATAATCGCATAGATAATCAGGGTTGGTTTTTTTATTTTATAAAAAATAACGATTGAAAATATATTTGTTTAATAAGTTTAAAAATAATAATACATTAAATTTTTTTTGGGCCTTGGAAGTATGAAAACTATTAAAAGCCAACAAGCAATTAAACTCAAAATACTAATTCCTAAAACCGATTATACTACTTCTATTGAAACTAAGTTATTTCAAGTATCTTTATTAGCAAGACACAAATACTTCTATTGAAACTAAGTTATTTCAAGTATCTTTATTAGCAAGACACAAATACTTCTATTGAAACTAAGTTATTTCAAGTATCTTTATTAGCAAGACACAAATACTTCTATTGAAACTAAGTTATTTCAAGTATCTTTATTAGCAAGACACAAAGTATTTTAGCTATTATGAGTATCAAACTACAACGTATTGAATATGTTTCCTTTCATATAATTTAGATTTATCTTTTTGAATATTTAATCATCTATAGACTTTATTCTTGAGTCCCAACTTGGTATATTTTTCAATTCGTATGATTTATATTTTCTTTGCCTTTGTTTGATTTCTTTACGTTGTTGTAGAATAGTTGATGGATCTATACTCTAGCCATCTTTTTTTTTTTTTAATTCATCACTCTTTAAACAATAAAAATATCTAGAGAATTTTGCTAAATCCTATAAAAGAAATGTTATTGCATTCTACTTCTACTGGTGAATTTTACATAATATTAAAAAAATACCGAAAATTAATCGAACCGTATCGATACCGAAGAGAAACCTACATAATTGGGACAATTTCGAAAAGTCTAATTTTGGTTATACATAGTAGAATAACCGAAAAATTGATATAATACAAATTTTATAAAATAATCGGACGAACCGAACCATCGACACCCCTAGCTACCACTGCCAACCAGCATTGCAGTAATATCTATGTAAGTAGTAATCGTAGTAGGCACATAGCTAGTACCAATATTCTCTTCATCACGCCACCCATTTTCTTTGTCCCAATAAAACAAATTAATTCACTCTTTGAAAGGTTCACTGGTAAGCATTAGACAGCATAAGAAGGAGAAATCATCTCGTGGCCCACACAACTGCCTAGCTCGTGAGAAATTCAAAAATAACCAGATTTACAACTGGTCGTTTAAAAATAGCCCAGTTTCAAAAGTAATCGAAATTTAGTCACTTTTCATATAAAAATAAATTTGAGCGAAAACACTGTTTAAAACCCGAAAAATACGCCAGTATATTATACTAGAGTTCCAACATATGCTGGAACTCTAACATATTATACTGGAGTTCCAGGATAAGAATGCTGGAACTCCAGCATAGTATGATGGAGTTTCAGCATAAGTACACTAGAACTCCAGCATAATATACTGGAGTTCCAGCAAGTATAATATAATTGTCCAGTATAATATACTAGAGTTTGGAGCATCGGTGCTCCCGTCTCCAGTATATTATACTGGAGTCAGCAAAGTATACCGGTCCAGCATAATATGCTGAGTTCATACACAGGTGCACCGAACTCCAGGATATTATGCTTGACCGGTCTCTATTGCAGCAAAATAGTGACTATTTTTCATTGACTTCGTAAACGTTGGCTATTTTTGGATGACCAGTCCGAAAACTGGCTATACCGTGCTATTTTTATGCCTAGCTCTGTCCCTCTAGACGTGTCTTGACAATCACTCATTTGTAATGTAATACCGAAAAGAACTTCACCTTTTATAGCTTTGCCATTTAACAGTATTTTCTTCTTTGAGGATGTTTTCCTCCTCAAGTGTAATACATTCTAGGGACTACAGTTGACACTTTTTTCCACCTTTGCATAACCAATATCCAAAATTTAGAAGGTAAAACATCTATTTTCTCATACCTGAAATATTCAAAATGATGTTGTAAATTTATATAGCATGAATCATCGAGAGAAAAAATGCTGACGCGAGTCATTTATCGACCTCATCCAACGCCATTTCACACACTATCCCAATAGTAGCATTTGGCGGCGCGATCAGATCAGTCCAACATACAGTATTTCTCATGGACACTTCAACAACCCTAGGATCTTCATTTCATCACATGGAAATCCAATAATTCAATGAGCTACAAGTTACCACACTAGAAAACGAGGCAACAAGAAATGAAAGAACAGTGACACAGAACAGCAAAAAGAGATATCTTTATTCATACCAATCATATTGGTTTTACAAAGATATACAGGCAAGCAAAGCACATGAAAAGGATGTGACGTCACTCCTCTAGCTGCCTAACTAACTCTAGCAAGGGAGGGAAATGAATATCAAACTAAATGAGATGTAAACTATAATCAAGAAAACTTCAAGCATCCCGTGTACAAAAAATTTGCCGTAGACAATTGTAAATTGCTTTTGTAGTGAAGTATCCTCTAAAGCAAAATGGACAAGAGGTCAAGAATAAAGTCATTACAATCTCTTGGTACATCTTCAGTGCTGGCATTTTTGTGTTAGCTATGAAAATGTCAAGTGCTTTGCTTGATGATGAAAAGCTCAACAAGTCCCGAACATGGCTAAATACTCTTTTAGCTCTAAAATGTTCCCCCATTGAGTTAGGAGGTATATGATGTGATTCCTCACCCCTGTTTGACGTGTTTCTTTGAAGCGGCAGGAGATGACTGTTGGAAGACTGGACTGTATGTGTGTTGCTGGATAATATTGATAAGAACGAAAGTATTTGCAGCCAAGAATAGCAAACCTGCCACCCAGAGTTGAAGAAAGACATTCTTTCCTTTAAATTCAAGCAAATATCCCCACATCAACCAATGACCCTGAGCTGCCATCCACAACAAGATGCAGACCAATCCTTTTCCTTTGAGTTTCATGTTGGTCCATGGCAGGATTAGCGGCAAGAGACAAAAGAACCAAACAAAGTATTGAGCTGTCATAACCTGCAGAGGAAAAGAACATTATATTTGCTAATGGAAAGTCGAGCTATTATTAGCTGATTCTCAACCCAAAGAGATTCAAGGATTGCTGACAAACCTTGTTGAATGCTACAAATGCCACAGTCTGCACAAAGAAACAAAATGGAAAATCCTGTGCAAAGCGGAAAACAAGAACTAGCTGCACCATAATCTGAGGCAGAAATGAGACAAGCTTTTCCAAGCTTGAAAACTCATGTTCATAGTGCAGATATATGTGGTAGAAATAGATTGAAAAATTGTGCCTTGGGTCTGTACGTGTGAGATGATAGAGAAGTGCTTCATGCAAGAACTCCCATCCATATAAATAGAAGAAAACCCCGGTAAGGAGAAAGAACATAGCTCCAGAAATAAACCCAAACATTATCCTCCTCCAGGTGAAAAGGCTTGTCAAAAAGTTCCATATACAATAAGGATCCATAAGCTTTTTACAGCTGGAAGTCTGATGTGACTTGCTTTTTCGAGAACTCCAATTCACAAGAGCAGGTTTTGTACCATACTGGAAGAATAGAGGATCAAGAACTAAAATAATCGGAAGAGCATAAATTATTGGATAGATCCTCATGTGGACGACAAGCCCATACCAAAATGCAGCTTGTACTAAACGACCTGATCAGTGAAACACCACCAAAGTCAAGAGAGCGTGATGACTTTCACTTACAAAGAAAAATATGAAGCTACAGTTTCAGTGGCACTAACCCAAGTGAGAATACAGTTATCTGACCCAAAATATCGGAGGATTCCTAAAAAGACTCTCAATTAAAAGAGTTTTCTGTTTAACCCTAAAAATTTCCAGAGTTAACATTCTTGGTTTTACTTTTCTTTAAACTAGAGGCTCGCTATAGTTTCAAATTGTATAAGAGCTATGAAAAGAAACGGTGGCAGATTCAGGACAAGTCTTGTTTCATCTCTTTATCGGATAAACCAAGCTCTAACAGTAAAATAATAAGTATCCTGCTTACATTAGTTGCTCGCTAAAACCTCATTCCGTGGCTGGTAATATTGGGTTGGTGTATTATACACCTAATGCTAGTGTGGAGTGGGAGGGGAGAAAGACTCAATCTTGACCAATATTTGCTGACAATACCTTCTTATCCACCGGTGTCATCACCTAAATCATGAAAGACTCAATCTTGACCAATATTTGATGACAATACCTTCTTTTCCACCAGTGTCATCACCTAAATCATGAAAGACTCAATCTTGACCAATATTTGATGACAATACCTTCTTTTCCACCAGTGTCATCACCTAAATCATGATGCTCATAGTCTAAATACTTCCCCTTCCCATATGTCCCCTCTTTACTGTCGTTTACATTGCCCCATGATAATTAAAGCAGGTTAAGGAGGAGACAAGGACCATTATGAAAGAGAGAATAACAAAGAAATTAACAGTAGAGGAGTAAACTAACAATGAAAAAGAAAAATATGGGAGTAAATTCTCAACACAACCATATTAGATGTAAACAAAAGGTACTGGAAACTTACTTCATCAGAAATAAAAAGGTACTGGAAAATTTTACCTTTCATTAGACATATAATAATCCAAAGTATTATGGCGCAGATGATAGGCTCACAATTCCCACGAGTTCCAATGGTAAAGGTAAATGGATTCAAAAGCCAGACCATCACAGAATAGGTGCATAATTTTTCAGGCACCCCTCTTAGCTTTAGAATGGCGTTTATAAGAAATCCCACGAGAAGATCTGCCGCACGAACTCAATTGTAAGTTTCAGTAAGCATATCTGTTTTGGAAACATAATTAAGATGTAATGTTTCTAAGAATTCCAAATATGCGTTGTTTGCAATAAGAAGAAACAATCAACTCAGATACAAAGGTGCAAGTGCAAGTGCTTATCACATTTAACAATTCACCCTTTCTAAGTTATATGACCACAACAATATCAAAGATTGCCAATGACACCTAAGCTTATAAACGTAAACAAAGAGAATTGAAACCTCTTGACCACCACATGCAAGAAGCATTTATATGAGGGAAAACAAGAATGCTAAATGATAAAATAAAAACGACAACTTTGAATTGCCTTGAAATGAGAACCCCTTTTACAGAAAATCCAATAAGAGCTAAATTCAAAATTTGACTATAAGAATAACCCACAAATCTTGAATCATCAAAAGATTATAGTAGCTTTCATGCATCTGGCCTTTCCAACAAATAATAAACAGAAAACTTAACTCAACCATGAATAACTAGTCTTATAAAAACTGTAAAGCTCAGACCTTTTCGGTATATGAAGGAAGTAAAAAGAACCCAAAAAGGGCACATACCTGAAGCGGAGAAGATGAATTTTCCCCAAGAAGGATGAATGAAAGAATTGGGTACAAGAAGAAAAGCAATTAAGGGTGAGTAGCGATATGTGGATCTTTGATAAGGGGATTTTCCAGCAGCGACTAAAGCAGCTGCATCTGAGAAAACAAGATAGTCCACATCTGTGTATCTAACTTCCATATGCCTATCTTGCCATTCTCCGTAAACTATCAAAAATACCCTAAGGAATGCTGAGAATATGAGCAGGGACTTGAGATTTACTGTCACCATTGTGATCGCTCGAAAGGAAGAGACTGAAAATGTGCCAAAACAAGAGAGGAAGTAGTTATAAACTCAGCTTTTGATTTTTTTTTTCTTGGACTTTCCACAATATTAAACCTCAATTTTTGTATAGTACTAATTTTTAAGTATTAATTATCAAGAATTAAAATATTCAAAAATTTACACTTTGGTATAACGTTCTTGCTATCAAGCTATTTTTTCATAACTATTTTAATACTATGTTCCTCTTATCACTACAAAATATTCAAGCCAAATAAGTATGTTAGACTTCATACTCAGTCGAATTATCGCATGAAGGGCTAACAACAACAACAACAACAACAACAACAACAACCCAGTAAAATCCCACAAGTGGGGTCTGGAGAGGGTAATATGTACGCAGACCTTACCTCTACCCGAGAGGCAGAGAGGCTGTTTCCAGGAGACCNTTCGGTCCCATACAATATAGCAGGCCTAACTACTGCCCTATAAAATTTACCTTTCAGTAACAGTGGCACTTTCTTGTCACACAGGACTCCCGACGCTAACCTCCATTTCATCCACCCCACCCCTATACGGTGTGTGACATCCTCGTCGATCTCCCCGGACCCCTGAATAAACGACCCCAAGTACTTGAAACTACTCCTCTTAGGGATGACTTGAGAATCAAGCCTCACTTCCATGAAGGGGCTAAATGGAAGTGAAATTCTAATGGTCAGTTCTCTTTTTTTAGTAATTATTAAGCAAAGTCAGATGTTAAATTGGAAATAGAGTTTGTTGTCTGAATAAAGTAGGCAAGTTATATACAAAGAACAATGACATATAAAACTAAACATAGCTAGTTCGAAAATGTTTACATTTTCCAAATTGATTTTTATTATGTTTTGTGACTAGACTCTGAATTCGACATTCAGTTTTGTTAAACTTATTGACTTGAGTTTTAAGCGAAAATAGTACGGGTAGCCAGTTTTCGGACGGGTGATTTGCATCTATACCCGCTTTTTGGGTCACGTTTTAATTTGTGTCCGCTTTGCAAAAAAAAATTGCAAGCGTACCCACTTTTTCGCGTAACTTCAGCATACGGGGCTGAAGTAGCAAAGACAATCACGCAATACTTCAGCATTCTAGTAGACAGGCCTGAAGTAGCAAAGGCAGTGCTAAAGTTCTTTTTTGTCCTGGATAAGATGCTGAAGTTATTTAGTTCATTTGTAAAAACTTAAGCGCTAAAATAGCTGAAGTTTTTTTTGTCCTGGATTCATTAGTTTTGTCATAAACCTTTTTCAAAAGTTTCAGCAGAAGATGCTGAAGTTATTTAATTTATTTGTAAAAACTTCAGCACTAAATAAGCTGAAGTTTTTTTGTCCTGAATAAGTTTTTTCAAAAACTTCAGCAAAAGATGTTGAAGTTATTTAGTTCATTTGTAAAATTTCAGCACTATATAAGCTAAAGTAACATTTTGCAGGAGAGAGTGAAATATAAATGGCAAAGCTTAAGTTCTACCTGTAAAAATTGAATCAGCACTGAAACATTTCACAAATTTCAAGTTACTTGGCGAAAAATTCCAACAATTTCATCATTTCCTCCTTCCTAACATCAACAAATTTAGTGATCTGTTGAGGGGAGAGAATCTTTGTCATACAAATTTTCTTCATAAAAATCCAGTACTTGCTATAGTCCAAAGTGAAAAACAATGTGTCTTTGTAAATTTGGTACTTTGAAGAGCCAAATTCTCCCTAGCAGCAAACTTGACATCATTGGTCTTAAAAATTTCTTTTGCTATAGCGTCATTCGATACTGTAGAACATTAAGAATTTTACCATTCAGACAAGTACAAAGGCAAGAGAACTGTGATCCTCCTCCTCAGTCTTCTCCTTAAATAAAAAAACTGATATTATTCTCCTGATCTGTTAGTACTACTATTCTACAGAATTAATCATAGTGTCTTTCAGTTGTTAATAGAAGAAGACGAAGAAGAAGAAGAAGAAGAAGAAGAAGAAGAAGAAGAAGAAGAAGAAGAAGAAGAAGAAGAAGAAAACGAAGGAGGAGGAAGGGGCTGAAGTTTTTTAAAAACCGGGTACAAGTTAAAACTTTTTTAAAAAACGGATATATGTTAAATGGGGGCGACCAAATAAGACGCCCTGTGTAATTTTTACTTTTAGGACTGGTAATTGAAAAATAGCTAGCGTTTGGAAAGTCATTGAAAAATAGTCATTATTTTTCTACAACATGAAAAGTTCCAGCAAGGGCGGCCCTTTCTTAAAGCAAGTAAAGCAACCGCTTTATGCCCATATTTGTGGGGGCCTCATTTTTTGTTACACCTAGTAGACTATGTATATGTTTAAAAAAGAGTTCTGTAAAGTGAAAAAGTTTGATTTCTTTCTTTAACAAACATAAAGGAGAAGAATTTGCAATTGTTATGATTCTACCAAGGAAATTGTACTTGAAATGAATATCGAACCTAAATTTTGTAAAAAACGTGTGATATATAGGAAGTAACAATTTGATGCAAATGTTGATAATGAAATCTCGAAATTTTTCGAAGAGTCCTTTAGAGTTGATTACTTTTATATATAATAGACAAGACTATTTTTTCACTTCAAAATAGATTTGAACAATTCGAAGCATATGAAAATATTTTTGGTTTTTTATTTGGCAATAAAAACTAAGATCACTAGATGTCCGAAATTTGAAAAAAATATTACCTTAATCTTGAATGTTCCTTAAAGCATAATAATCAATTTGATATTGATGGTTCAGATTTATTTTGCGAATTAAAAGTATTAAGAAAAATAGTATAATTAAAATATAACAGTTTAATTGATACACCTAATCAAATAAAAAGATATAATTCTTTTTCAAATGCCTAAATTGCTTATGGAATAATGTTCATAACTCATATTACCGTTGCTTCAGCGAAAAGAAATTTTCAAAATTAAAATTGATAAAGTCTTACCTAAGAACAACAATATCACAAGAAAGGTTAAATGGATTAGCTATATTGTCAATTGAGAAATACTTATTAGGAGTTATTGATTATAAGAAAATTATTAATAACTTTGTATCTAAGAAAAACTAAAAAAATAGACTTCAAATAAATAATTAAAAAAAAAAAAAAGTTAAAGCCCCTCGTAAAGTTTGGCTTTAGGCCACAAAATTCGTCGGGCCGCCCCTGAGTTTCAGCATAATATACAGGAGATTGGTGCATCTGTGTATGAACTTCTAGCATATTATGCTGGAACTCCAACACACGGAAAGTTCCAGCATAATATACTAGAGATTGGAGCACATGTGTATGAACTTCCAGCATATTATGTTGGATCTTATATTATACTGGAACTCCAGTATATTATGCTGGAATATTTTCCAAATTTTGAACAGTATTTTCGTTCAAATTTATCTTTACACGAAAAGTGGCTAAATTTCGATTACTTTTGAAATTGTGGCTATTTTTCAATTACCACTTTGTAAATCTGGCTTCTTTTTTTTAAAAAAATAAATAAATTCACCCGAGTTTTAAACTCAACATTCAATTGCGTACAAGTTGCGGGTAAAACATAAGTACTATCTTTCCCTCCCAGCTTAAGTGTTCTATTTGGGTTTGACACGTTTATTGAGATTTTAAAATAAATAACTACTATATTTAAATAGAATTTAACCCAAAAAGGGAAACAAAATTGACTTCTTGATGGATTTGAACATTACATAGAATAAAAGTAGGTCCCTGTTTACGTTCTTGGTAACAAAATAATGAATAGTAATGATAAGTTTAGAGAAAAGATTTCCAAGTTAGGAAAGTCTGTTACTCTTGTAATATGTAATAGAATTTTAAGTTATATACAGTTCAATTTATAACATAAAGAGTGTTCTAAATAATTTTCAAAATTTTCTTGATGGGCAAGAGTTACACGCTGCATGTCTTAGTGAGAGATAATAAGTACCGGGTGAAATAGTCTAAGAGATGCACACACAATATCACCGTTATCACAAAAAAAAAGAAATCTAGAAGTAACCATTTTAACAAGATAATTAAAATTTCAGGGGTAAATTGGACACGTACAACATTAGCAGTAAACAGGACCACAAAATTCAAATACTTGCGGGTAATAGAGTTGATATATATACTCAGAAGATAATCCACTCGGNTAAATACACATAACAGATATGAAAGAAATAAAGATAAGGCTCCCTCTTTTTTCCCCTTTAGTCATGCTCTTGTTACAAATTTATGGGAGACGTTAACATTCCATCCAAGTAATTTGATGGGCATTCATATTCTTTCCTACCCATATCATGTTTTCCTTTGACTCTTAACCAAAGTCTTATCCATGTTTTCTTCTGGTATCTCTAAGAATCATGCTCTTTTTTTTTTGCCTAATGAAAAGACGTCATTACGCCATTGAGGCAACCAAAATTGAAATAATTCATCAATTAGAAAAACAATCATTTTCATATTCTATATAAATACAAGCAGAGGATGATATGGTTTCTATGCCCATCAATGCAATTTTAAGAAAGCACAACTGCAAAAAGAAGGAGACCTCTTTTTGTTCCTGGCAGTGAGAACACCAGAAAGCCCCATACATTTTTGCTCCAATTGAACGCAGGTGCTTCGCTAGGGAAATAGCAAAAGGTGTCGACGGTGATGTTATCTCAGTTGTGAAATATTCCAGTTCAGTCATAGCAGAACTGCAAAAGATGGGAAAAGGGATTTGAGTAATTGTTCTCTTGAATAATGTGCACGATCTTTTCACCAACTGATAGATTTCAGACAAACTAGAGTTTTAAGTGTGACTATACATCAAAAGCTTTTCTATCTTAAAATAACCAAGATATCTTGCTATTGATAAAGCTACAAACTGAACAAGCTTCTCTACTTGCTTAAAATTATAGCTCAAATAATGCATGAAGTGATTAAATAAGGTTTGTATTATCTGTGTAATGATGTAATCTATGCCAAGCAAACATCGACTTCAAAATTCTAAGCAATTTCAACCCAATAAGCTCACTGAATTCAGTCCGAGAAGAAAGGTCCATAATGTTGCAAACCTACTTCATCGAAAATCAGAAGGAACTATGATAAGATATTGCCTACTTACCCAAAAGAAATAGTTGAGAACTAAGTTGTGCGGACTCTTCGATTTTGGTGTCGTCCCCGTCCCAATAAGAGACGGGGACGGGAGCAGGATACGTCCCGGATTCGGTCAACTAACTTCGGACACTTTGACCGAGTCCATCAACAAATTTAGGAGAAAAATTGAGATTTTGATTTCTCAAAATCAAAAATAAAACAGATTTAAGTTATGGAAAATGACATACCTTCAATATTGTAGTATTTTTGTCTCATGTTTTTGGAGAATGAAAGATTGAATTCTACAATATTCATGTAAGTATTTCACATAATATCTCTTAAAATTTACAATCTTTTTATAGCTCTATTTTTTATTATTTTGAATTTTCTTAGCCGAATCCCCGCGCCTGTATCCATATCAGGATCCGCACCCCCGAATCTTAAAATTTAGATTTTGCCGAATCCGATACTCGGATCCGTCCTCATATCGGATACCCGCACCCGAGTCCGAGCAACTTAGGTTGAGAAATGTATGTTGAGCCTAATTCAACCTAAAGCAAACTCAAGTGATGAGAATCGTCTACGATCATATAAGGAGATTACAGCCTCTGTACTTAACCAAGGAGAATCTGACTTGTCATGAAGAGGTTAGAGTTGAAGTTATAGCTCCGAGCAATCCAACACCTACTCTGGGAAGAATAGACAAGGAAGTATAAAACAGAAAAGCTCCTGTTTTTTTTCTTCAAACCTTCCTTATATAATGGAAGAACTCCTGCCTATTGTCCTTTAAATCCAAAGACACTTTGGCTAATATTAACCGACAAGGTGTAAAGGCGTACAGACTATTTACCTGGTATTTGTTGGCTGAGAGGCACTGTATGAATTGTTTAGGGTGGAAACCACCAAGAGAACTATAAGTAACTGTAAACCCACCTCTTTTTGCACCTCTTGAGACCCCAGACCCTGTAAACGAAAGCCACATCTTTGTCATTAGCACTGCATATAGACATAGAAGCTAAACAAACAATATTATCTGTGGCGGAAATTACCTTTATACTGCTGATGAACAAACCAAACGACAATAAGGCAGAAGCTAAACAGTAAAGGCAAAATTCTCCAGAGAATTGTGTGCTTAGGATGTATAAGAAGTATGCACTGGCCGCTGCCATGGAAGTACTTGTTCCAAGTAAAAGCAAACGCCCATAAGCTTCACCAATTCCAAGCGGCGTCCTTTTCTGGCCCAATTGTATCCCAAGTACTGCAACTACTCCATAAGCAATCATACCAATCAATGGAAGAGGAACACCTGGCAAATGTAAAAGGATGAAAACTGAATCTCTTTCCAAAACATATTACCTGCAATTTAAGTGACATACTGCTTTCAATTTGATGATTGTTCAATCTATGTCTTTCAGATCAAAATAGAACATAGTCATTTTATGACGAATGCCAACAATATAGAAAATTTACTATCTCCATCTGTAAAAATTCACCTTTCACTTCTTAGTCCGTCAATTTTATTAGGTTTTCAGATATAATACCACATAAATAGTTGTATTCCTCCTTTTATTCTCTCACAAACAATTTTATCTCCAAATGGTAAGGGGATCCTGTTGCACTACATGGTCTTCAATAAATACAAAAAAGAGTTCCTTCTACTCTTTAGTCAAAATAAGACATTTTCAGTTGGGGAAATAGGGAGTAAAAATTGTTCTTTCTGGTAAGCAAATAATTCATATAGAGAATCAAACAAGAGGCTAATCATCAAAGAGAAGTGTGAAGTTTTTTACATTCTGTGCCGACCCCAACTTGTTTGTGGTTGAGGCCTAGTATTGTTTGTCTGGTGAAGACTTAATCAAATGCGAAAATATAAAACTGTATCCAACCACCTTTTCAGGTTCCCACCAATTTTACTTGTCCAGCAGTGTTTATATTGCCTGACTAAAATTTGTTTATTTTAACAAAACTTTAAGACATATATAGATTACTATAAAAGTTTGTTTCTTTTAACAAAACTTTAGATACGTATAGAAGGTTACAAAGATACTTCTAAAGCAGAAAGTTTCTAAAAATAGCAAAGAATATTACCAAACACAGCTGAGTAGCTGCTGTTGAGGATGTTGCCGCAGCTGCTACCATCACCAACAGGACAAAATGCTTCGGAGTTGGTGAGTTTGAGGTACGTCAAGTAAGAAGTTTCGAAAAACCCAACACCTCCAAGTGCTGCACACCAATTGTATGCTGAAATGCTTGTGTCAGCAGAAGTATTTGATAACACCACCTTGGGTTCTGACTCTGTCTCTGCATCTTCGACCTTTCTCGATGAGCAGCTCACTCGAAGCAACAACAATCGCCGAGCTGAATCTCTCTTTAAGAAACGAAGCAACAAAAATGTAAATATTGGCAAAAAAAATTGAATCTTGAAGAAATGAAGAGTGACTGTACCTTGAGTTGAATGAGGGAAGATATAGAATTAGAGCGAGATGGGGGGAGATGAGAGGTTTGGGTGGGAAAAGGGGAAGATGATACGCCGATGAGACTGGCCATCAGCTCACAATTGGGTGTCACCCGCCGTGAGTAGTGGTGGTTTGACTAGTTTGTCCCGTGGCGGTGGTTGGTCGTTAATTAAGCGTGCGGAAAATGTGCTCGTTACTGAAATTGGGCCATTTGGACCAACTCTTCAGCTCTGGCTCGCTTACTCAATATTAGGCTTTGGACAATATTTGAGTTGAACTAAACACAAAAGAATTGGTAAAAATAGCACGGTATAGCCAGTTTTCGGACTGGTCATTCTAAAATGGCCACCGTTTACGAAATCAATAAAAAATAATTACTATTTTGCTGCAACAGAGACCGGTCCAACATAATATACTAGAGTTCGGTGCACCTGTGTATGAACTCCAACATATTATGCTGGACCGGTATATTTTGCTGACTCCAATATAATATACTGGAGACTGGAGCACCGGTGCTCCAAACTCTAGTATATTATACTTGTTGGAACTCTAGTATATTATGCTGGAGTTCTAGTGTACTTATGTTGGAACTCCATCATATTATGCTGGAGTTCCAGCATACATATCCTGCAACTCCAATATAATATGCTGGAGTTCAAGCATACTTATGCTGGAACTCCAGTATAATATACTGGTGTATTTTCCAGGTTTTGAACAGTATTTTCGCTCAGATTTATCTTTACATGAAAAGTGGCTAAATTTCGATTACTTTTGAAACTGGGCTATTTTTGAACATCCAGTTGTAAATCTGGCTATTTTTGAATTTCTCCTAAAGAATTGAGGAACTAATGTGCTAAAGCTAGAAAAAAATTGGAATTTTTAACTCCTATAGCAAATATTTACACCTTATTTATTATAAATAAATATCTTTTTATAAAATTATATTCTATAGCTACCTTTTAGGTTTTATAGCAAATTATCTATTTATAGTCACTTCCTATTGTTAAGCCATTAAATACGCTCTGAAATATTTTTCTCTCTCATGCTTTCTATTCTCTCTCTCCCAATAACACCGGTATTGTATACAATTTTGTTAAACCCACGTACTCTCTCCTAACCCAGTATCTTCCCCACGAATACAACCTCCATTATCAACTGATTCATCTCCATTCTCTCTCTCAATTTTCAAAATTGTTTGCCCAAAAAAGTTGTGGTATTCGCTGGCACATGTATTATTCTGTATATCTGTACTGTTTTTGTAGAAACAATCACCATTGTTATCCTTTTACAGAAAACTCGGATTTTCTTCTCCAATGGATGATTCAACTCCTTACAAGAGGGTTATCCAAGGTATATCGATCAAAGCACTCAATTTCGAAAGGCCATCTTTCGATTTGCAAATCACGCAAGCGGAACATGTATTTGCAGGTTCAACAACAAATACAGTTGCAGTAAAGAGAACAAAAATACGCAATGACACATCGAAACGAGTCTAATTTGAGAAATTTGAAAGAATCAACACTTCACTGTTTGTTTTTAGATGTATTTAGATATATTTTGATGACTTTAACTGTTGTACTTATGAATGTGTTATGTATTTCAGATACATGTATTCATCTGTATTTTACTGATAAATAGTTATTACAATGACTTTCACTGTTTGTTTTTAGATGTATTTAGTTGTATTTAGATGTATTTACAATGCTTTCACTGTTGCACTTATGAATATGTTATGTATTCCAAATATATGTATTCATCAAAAAAGAGTACATGTTTTGAAATCTACAGAAAGATAGTAACAGAAAAAAGAAGGGATTGAAAATCTAGAGATTGCTCTGTTTTGTGATTTTTTTTGGCTGGGAAATCTTTTCTTTAACGTGAATTATAGATTCTCCGTGTTATAATTGAGTTAGTTGAGTTATATTAGGAGTATATCGCGTTAATTGATTCATTTACCGTTTTAAATAGCTGAAAAGATCATTTTTTATGCAATTTACCTTATTGTATTCACAAATACAGCTCGCAAATACAGTCGAATACAATCGAATACAACCGTTGCTTAGCTGGACTACCCTGTTTCACGCCGAGTTTTGCTACTGTATTCATGAATACAATAGCTTAAGTATATCGAATACACTCTATAACAACTGAAACCATATCTATAGGAATTAATTTAGTAAATGATAGCTATAACTAGCTAATAACCACTAAACAATAGTGGTTTGTGAAAATTTCTCTAGAAAAGGTAAGGTCTACTTTACTTCCAAAATGTTAGAATGTTGAGGACTCTTCTAAACAACTATCTTTGTGGATGGTTGATGTTAGACTATAATTATATATTTTTAGTGCATTACTTACTTTATATTTAGGTGCTTTAATGCTAAACAATGTTATACTTATGCTTAATTGAGTCTATTTTATGTATAGGTACGTTGAAGACGAAATTGGAAGTAAAGTAGAAATTTTATATGTATTTTATACACTAAAAAAATGGTTCATGAGTATTTAATCTATATCTACCTATATCTATATCTATACTATATTAAAAGCACGAAGACCCTTAGCGAAATGTCGTTCGCCTTTTTTATCCTCTAAAATTTTCCTTTAATAATTCAAAATCTTAATATTTAGGACCAAATATAACAAATAATTTTGATGTTGAACTATGTTTTAGGAATTCAAATTTTCAATGTTTTAATATCTACCCACTAAACATTATATTTGTATTCAAGACATTAAAGTCAAAAAATGAAGAACTGCTATTACTTTTTAATTTGAAGAAAAGAAATACTATTATTGGTTCTTCCATTTTTTTTTATCCAGTACTATTGATTTTTCTAAAAGTAAAGTTAGATGGGGAATAGAGTTAAAATAAGCCAATATACAATTAATATGAAGAATTAATTTCTACTCCCTCTGTCTCAAAATATTTATCGTAATGTCTACAAAAAGTTTCAATTATTTATCATTTTAGAAATTCAAGATAAAATTAATTATTCTTTTCCATTTTGTCCTTAGTAGTAATTATTCTTAAAGATGGAGATGAAACATAAATAAAGTAAATGTTCAATGAAGAGAGATTATATTAAAAACGACAAGTAGTTTAAGACAGAAAAGATATTTAATTAATACATACATTTTAATTAATATTTTCTTTAAAGACGTGTAAAAGAGAAATACGACAAGTAGTTTAAGACAGAAAAAATATTTATTAGTAATCAAGACTCAAGAGCCTTTAAATAGGTAGAAAGATGATGAATTATTAGTGTTATGAAATATTTAGTTTTACAGCAAAAATGTAACTCCAACCAAACAAATAACTGGTTAATGTTAGAAATCTCATCAATTGGTAAATGTTACACTTTCGGATTATTAGTACAAAAGTTGTAGTAATCAATAAAGTCACAAAGTTTACTAGCAAAATTAATTAAATTTTGGTCGGTGGAATTGTATTTTCTAAAAGTTGAAGGCAATAAATTGTATTGGTATTTGTCCAAACAAACAGAAAAGAAAAATTTTAACTCACAAAATTAAAACTCTGTATCAAATTATTCAAAATCGCAAGTCAATCTATATTTTTCTAAATACAAGAGGACTAAAAACAAATAACATTGGATCTTTGATTAATATTAATTACTATGTATGTATTGTTTTCGTCAACAACTAAATAATATACATGAATATATCTATCTATCTTTTATAATAAGAAAAATGTGTTATGTAAATTGAAATAGAGGAAATAATATTTATATAAAATTTTAAAAATTTAACACTCACTGATATATATATATATATNAAGCTCAAAAGTTAAAAGTTGAATTACTAAAATGCCCTTCTAAATAACTTAAATATTTTACTAATAAATAAATAAAAAAGTCTCCTATTTTCCTTTCTCTTATCATAGGAACCAACACGTCTTCAGAGAAAAAGAATGAACCGTAGCCTTTTTGAACCATTACCTTCTTGAAAGGCCATTGTTTTTAATGCTTGAAGAAAGGTTCCTTCTTCAATATTGTTCAGTCATCTCCATTTAATTGTTGGTTTTGCTACACTAATTTTCCATTACTGCTAAAAGGTCTTGTGTAAGAAGCAAAAGTTACTATATCCAAACTTTTCCTTTTTCACTTGCAGATGAAGGTATCATGCATTTTTTCGAGACATTTTTGTGACCCCGAATTGAACCCAAAATTGTGGAAGTCAATATGATCGATTTAGAAGTCATTGTTATACTTCAAGACCACAGGTACATTTGATGTTGCTGTCACTTTCTCTAATACATTTAAGTTGCATTATACTTGAATTGAAAACTTTAGAAGAACGGGTTGAACCTAATTTTCATCCTAATTTGTAAGACAAATCTATGTCAAGTTGCCATTCTTAAGAGATTTGTTTAGCAGGGTATTTATCTCAACAAAAAGAAAGATATTTGGTTAAAAGCAGTCGTTCTATCTTTTGATATCTTTCAAATATTTATACTCCCGACATGCACAGTGCATTCGCTCACAATTTGTTCAATTAATTTCTCTAAAAGGTGATCTTTTCATTGACCATCTTCAACCGTTGTGACAGGTTGAACATTCTTCTTTTTTATAAACTTTGTAAACAATAATTTACTTTTCTAAAAATTACGACATTAATATAGTAATGAGACTTGAATATTTGGACGTACCAATAGAATACTGCATGTTTTTTTTAACACACCAACAAAGAATAAAACCAAAATAAAAATAAAATCAACCCACAACAGAAAATAACGTTATAACGAATAAAACTTCAAAATAATTGTATGACAAGACGGCCATTTTAATGCCATTCATGATACATAGGTTCCCATATTATTTCATGCCTTAGGACTAGTACACCAAGTAGATAGTAAACACTAGAGAAAATTATTAATTGTTAACAGTGTTATGTAATTTTTTTAAAAACTATAAGTATCTTTGTCGTTGGCACACCCAAAATTCTGAATTGTCCAAGGAGACTCAAAACTCTCTGGTAAAGGCTTTCATCATATCATGGTATTTTTGAATAGCTAACTGCCCTATTGTTTAATTTGCTCTAGACCAATATTATTTTTTCCTTTGTATGTCCTTTTAATTTTTAAAGGGGTCTACTATGGCTAAAAATAATTTTAGTGTCAATTGTTTGGATGCTAATGTGCTAGATAGAAGCCAATCTCCACATCCAGATCAAGTACATGAAAGGACTTGGATGCTAATGTGCTAGATATATTTTTCATGC